GTCTGTTTTTGTGCCAGTACTATGATATTTTGGTTACTGAATATTACATTTTAATAAGTTAAAGATGTATGTTGTGGTCTCTAAGATAACTAGTGAAAGAATAATAAAAGAATGCTCAACTAATGGAGTGATAACAAAATAAGAAAAAAACACATAATCAAAAGTGGCATGAAAGGGGAGAAGAAAGAACGTGGAATAATTAATTAAATGTGAAATAGTCACATGATAAGGTTAAACCCAGATAAATCAGTGGCTACATTATAGGTAAAAGGAACATATAATCCAATTACAATTAAAAGATTGTCAGGCTGATTAAAAAGACAATTAACTTTATACTGTTTATAAGAGACATATCTTGAGTAACAATATTGAAAGGTTGAAAGTAAAATGATGGAAAAAGAAGAACTTTGGAAATACCAATAGAAAGTGGCTCTGCTAAATCAGATAAAGCAGACTTTATGGTATAAAGCATTACTATAAATCAGTGGTTCGCAACCAGCAGCGATTTTGCCCCCCAATGGACATTTGGCAATATCTAGAGATATTTTTGATTGTCATGACTTGGGGTGATGATGCTACTACCATCTAATGGGTAGAGGACAAAAATGCTGCTAAACATTCTGCACTGCACAGGACAACACCTCCCACCCAACAAAGAATTCTCCTGCCCATGTCTTAAATGTCAATAGTGCACAGTTGAGAATTGCTGCTATAGATGAAGAAACACTACATAAAAATAAAAGGGTCAATTCACCAGAAAAAATAAAATAATTTATATACACTAATAACATTGTCTCAAAATATATAAAGCAAAAAACCTGACAGAATTAAAAGGGGAACAGAAAAATTCACAATTATGGCGGGAGGTTTCAATACAGTTCTCTCAGGAACTGATAGAACAAGTAGACAAAAAAAATCGGTAAGAATATAGATGACTCAACACAGATAATAAATACAATCTTATCCATATATTTAGAATAAAGTACTAAACATCTACAGAATACACATTATTTTCAAATACACATGGAACATTTACCAAAATTGACCATATGCTGGACCATAGAGTAAGTCCTAGTAGCTTCCAAATTATTAAAATTAGACATAGTATATTATCTGACCACAGTGGAATCAAGCTAAAAATCAATAACAAAAAGAAAACTAGGGCCTGGCGCGGTGACTCATGCCTGTAATCCCAGCCCTTTGGGAGACCAAGGCAAACAGATCACTTTAGGTCAGGAGTTTGTGACCAGCTTGGCCAACATGGTGAAACCCCGTTTCTACTAAAACTACAAAAATTAGCCAGGCATGGTGGCGTGTGCTTATAATCCTAGCTAACTCAGGAGGTTGAGGCAGGAGAATCGCTTGAATCCAGGAGGCGGAGGTTGCAGTGAACTGAGATCGTGCCACTGCACTCCAGCCTGGGCAGCAGAGCGAGACTCCATCTCTCAAAATAAATAAGTAAATAAGATAAATAGAAAGAAAAAAGAAAACTAGGAAATTCCCAAATATTTGGAAATTAAACAATATATTTATTGCCTAACTTAAGTAACCTATGAGTCAAGGAAGAAATCACAGTGGGAATTAAAATGTATTTTGAATTAAATAATATTGCAGCCAAAGCAATCCTAAGAAAAAAGAACAAGGCCGGGCATGGTGGCTCACACCTGTAATCCCAGAACTTTGGTAGGCTGAGGTGGGCAGATTACAAGGACAGGAGTTTGAGACCATCCTGGCTAACATGGTGAAACCTCGTCTCTACTAAAAATACAAAAAAAATTAGCCGGGCATGGTGGTGTGCGCCCGTAGTCCCAGCTACTCGGGAGGCAGAGGCAGGAGAATCGCTTGAACTCAGGAGGCGGAGGTTGCAGTGAGCTGAGATTGTGCCACTGCACTCCAGCCTGGTGACCAAAAGAAAAGAAAAGAAAAGAAAAGAAAAAGAACAAAGCCAGAGGCATCACATTACCTGACTTCAAACAATGCTACAAGTCTACAGTAACCAAGGCAGCATGGTGCTGGTACAAAAATAGACACATACACCAGTGGAACTGAACAGAGAACATAGAAGTAAGGCCACACACCTACAACCAACTGATCTTTGACAAAGTTAACAAAAATAAACAATGGGGAAAGGACACCCTATTCAATAAATGGTACTGGGGAAACTGGCTAACCATATGCAGAAGAATGAAGCTCGACCCCTCCCTCTCACTACATACAAAAATTAATTCAAGATGGATTAAAGACTTAAATAAGACCTAAAACTATAAAAATCCTAGAAGAAAACCTAGGAACTACCATTCTGGACATTGACCTTGGCAAATAATTTATAACTAAGTCCTCAAAAGCAGTAAAAAGAAAAATTTTGACAAGTAGGACCTAATTAAACTAAAGAGCTTCTGCACAGGAAGATAAGCTATCAACAGAGTAAACAGACACCTATAGAATGGAGAAAATATTCATGAACTATGCATCTGACAAAGGTCTAATATCCAGAATCTATAGGGAACTTAAACAATTCAACAAGAAAAAAAAAAAACCCATTAAAAAATGGGCAAAGGACATGTTTCAAGAAAAGACATGAGGCCAGAAACATATGAAACAATGCTTATCATCACTAATCATCAGAGAAATGCAAACCAAAACCACAGTGAGACACCATATCACACCAGTCAGACTGGCTATTATTAAAAAGTCAAAAAATAATAGATATTGGCAATGTTGCAGAGAAAAGAGAATGCTTATACACTGCTGGTGGGACTGTAAATTAGTCCATCCCCTGTGGAAAGCAATTTGGAGATTCCTCAAATAACTAAAAATAGAACTACCATTTACTTCAGCAATCTCTTCACTGAGTATATACCCAAAGGAAAATAAATCATTCTACCAAAAGGATACCTGCACTCTCATGTTTATCACAGCAGTATACACAACAGTAAAGGCATAGAATCAACCTAGGTCACCATCAACAGTAGACTGGATAAAGAAAATATGGTACATATACACAGAATACTATGGAGCCATAAAAAAGAACAAAATTATGTCCTTTACAGCAACATGAATGTAGCTGGAGTCCGTTATCCTAAGTGAATTAATGCATGAACAGAAAATAAAATACCATAAATTCTCACTTATAAGTAGGAGCTAAACACTGGGTACACACAAGGCATAAAGATGGGAACAATAGACACTGGGGACTGAAAAAGGGGGAAGGGAGGGAACAGGGCAAGGGTTGAAAAACTACCTATTGGGTACTATGTTCACTATGTGGGTATCAGGTTCAATTGAATCCCAAACTTCAGAATCATACAACATATCCATGTAAAAAAACCTGCCCAGGTACCCCTAAAACTAAAATTAAAAAAAGGAAAACATAATAAATTGATCTTAAATACAATTTGTGTGTGGTTTTAAAAAATGAATAATATTTGGATCACAATGTATCTGAACAGGGGATGAGCTAAAGCTGTTTAGGGAATGATAAATACATATATTAGAAAAAAAAGATGAAGAACAGAAAGTTAAACCTCACAAAGGAGAAGGAAAGAATGAAGAGCAGAAATTAATAAACAATAAAAATATTTTAGAGAGAATAAAAAATACCCAAAGTTGGTTTATTAAAAAATAATAAACTGGACAAGCCTCTGTCAAGTCTGATCAAAAGAAGTACAGAAAGCACACATAACAAATATGAAGGGTGAAAAAGGGCACATCGTTTCAAATCTTACAGATATTTAAAATAACAAAAAGGCTATTGTGGATAATTTTAAGTTTTGAGTTTCATTAAAAATCTTAAGTTTCATTTGAAAATATACATGAAATGGACAATATCCCAACAAAACACATCTCAACTGACACAAGAAGAAAGAGAAATGTAAACAGTCCTAAAGCTTCTAAAGAGATAGATTTCAGCTGTGTACAGTGGCTCACATCTATAGTCCCAGCACCCTGGGAGGCCAAGGTGGGAGGATCGCTTGAGCCTAGGAGTTTGAGAACATCCTGGGCAACATAGTGAGACCCTGTCTCTACAAAAAAATAAAATAAACCAGGTGTGGTGGTGTATGCCTGTGTTCACAGAGCTACTTGGGAAACTGAGGCAGAAGGATCACTTGAGCTCAGGAGTTTGAGGCTGCAGTGAGTGAGATCTGTTCTCTTAAAAAAGAAAGAAAGAAATTAATTTCATCCATAATAAAAAAATATTTTCCCGGCCGGGCATGGTGGCTCACGCCTGTAATACCAGCACTTTGGGAGGCCGAGGGGGTAGATCACGAGGTCAGGAGATCGAGATCATCCTGGCTAACACTGTGAAACCCCGTCTCTACTAAAAATACAAAAATTAGCCAGGCACGGTGGCGGGCGCCTGTAGTCCCAGCTACTGGGGAGGCTGTGGCAGGAGAATGGCGTGAACCCCGGAGGTGGAGCTTTCAGTGAGTGGAGATTGCACCACTGCACTCCAACCTGGGCAACAGAGCGAGACTCCGTCTCAAAAAAAAAAAAAAAAAAATTCTCCCAAAGAAAATTCCAGGCCCAGATGGCTTCACTAGTAAATCATAATAATGCCAATATCACACAAACTCAGAGACTAGAAAAAGAGGGAATACTCCCTGACTTGTTTTATGAGGCTAGCACAATCTTAATACTAAAACATGACAAGTAAAACACAAGAAGAGAAAATACCAATCTCTCTCATAACATAGATTTTAAAAATCTCAACCAAAATATAAGCAAGCCAAATTCTGGCATACATAAAAAAGATAATACAGATGGAAAAATTGAATATAATCTAGAAGTTAACATTTAGGAAACAATCAGTGTTTTACCACATTTAATAGATAAAAGGAGAAAAATCTCATGATTAGAGATTAAGGAAAAGTGATAAAATGAAACATACATTAAAAAAAAAAACCCAGTAAACTAGGAATAGATGGGAATTTTCTTAATAAAATAAAGGATATCTACAAAAACATCATACTTAATGGTGAAATGCTGAAACATTTCTCTAGGCTTGTGAACAAGACAAGGATATCTGCTATCACCTCTTCTATTCAAGATTGTATTAGAGTTCTTAGCCTGGAAAATAAGGTAAGAAAAAAGTATTCAGATTGGAAAATAACAAGTATACCATTATTTACAGATGACATAATTATGTATATAAGACTAAATGACTTTAGATAAGCTATTAGAATCAACAGGTAAATTCAGCAAGTTCACAGGCCGAAAGATCAGTATAAAAAAATCAATTGTATTCCTGTATACCAACAACAAACAGTTAGAAAGTGAAATTTTAGAAATGGTACCATTTACAATAGTAGCAAAAAAATCAACTACCTAGGAATAAATCTAATGAAAGACTGTAGAACTTCACACAGGAAACTATAAAATATTATTTGGAGAAACTAAAGATGACCTAAATAAATAAGAGATATATCATTTTCGTAGATTGGAAGACTCAATATTATAAATATGTTATTCCTCCCCAAGCTGATCTGTGGATTTCAGTTAAACCAAATTCAAGTCCCAACAACTTTTTTTTTGGTGTGGAAATTGACAAGCTGATTCTAAAACTTACGTGAAATGCAAAGGGCCAAGAATAGCTAAGACACTATTAAAGAAGAACGAAGTTGGAGGATTCACTCTACCAGATATCAATATTTGTCAAAGTACAATGGTGAAAACAGTGAAGATTTAACATAAAGATAGACAAATAAACAGACAGAATTGTAAGATCAGAAACCAATTCACACATATATGGATATTTGACTTATGGCAAAGATAGCGCTTTAGGAAAAGTCCTGTCTCTTTTTTTTTTTTTTTTTTTTTGAGACAGAGTCTGCTCTGTGGGCTGAGGCTGGAGTGCAATGGTGCAACTGGCTCACTGCAACCTCTGCCTCCCGGGTTCAGCAATTCTCCCTGCCTTAGCCTCCAGTAGCTGGGACTACAGCGTACCCCACCACACCTGGCTGATTTTTATATTATTAATAAGAGACAGGGGTTTCACCATGTTGGCCAGGCTCGTCTTGAACTCCTGACCTCAGGTTGTCTGCCTGTTCTCGGCCTCCCACAGTGCTGGGATTACAGGCGTTGAGCCCACCGCACCAGCCCCCTCCCTGAATTTTGATTTTTAGGCTCATAGGCAAATATAGGTCCGTTAAGAGTATGGATTTAAATAGAAAGTAGAACAAGTTCATGAGGAATTGGGGAAGGCAAAACTTTCTTAAATAAGATATCACCCCCTTCCCCTAAATCCACCCACTTGACTACAAAGGAAAGGATGATAAATGGAAGTACACTAAATTAGGATTCAGAACATGTCATGAGTAAAAAGACAAACGGCCGGCGCGGGTGGCTCAGCCTGTATTCCCCAGCACTTTGGAGCCGAGGACGGGGCGGATCACGGTCAGGAGGATCGAGACCCATCCTGGCTAACATGGTGAAACCCCCGTCTCTACTAAAAATACAGAAAAAAACTAGCGGCGGAGATTGGCGGCGGCCTGTGGTCCGCTACTTGGGGCGGGCTGAGGCAAGAGAATGGCGTTAAACCCCGGTGGGGCGGAGGCTTGCAGTGAGCTTGAGGATCCGGCCACTGCACTCCAGCCCTGCGGACAGGGCAGACTCAGTCCTCAAAAAAAAAAAAAAAAAAAAAGACAAAACCACAAATATAAGAGAATATTTGCAAGATATATTCAATAGAAATAATTCTTACAAATCATTAAGAAAAACAACCCAAAAGAAAGATGGGCAAAAACCTTGAATGGGTACTTCGTAAAAAACGTTAGACATATGGCAAAGAAACAAATGGAAATGTTCTGAGATCATAAGTTGTCAAGGAAATGCAAATTAGAATTACAGTCAAGTTACTGCTATACACTTACTAGAATGACTAAAATTAAAAGTAGTAACAGTACCAACTATTGGTAAGGATACGGAGCAACTGAAACTCTCAACCATTGCTGGTGGAAGTGTAAATTTACACTGCTGGTGAAAGTGTAAATTGGTACAACCAATTTGGAAAATAATGTCATTATTTACTAAAGTTGAAGATAAAATGATTTACCACTTAGGTACGTAAAATGAAATATGTGCACCAAAATCATGTAGAAGGGTTTTCTTAGAAGCATTATTCACAATAGTCAAAACCTGGAAACAATCCAGATGTTCAACACTAGAATGGATAAATATATTGTGGATAGTCACATAATAGAATATTTTGTGGGAACAAAAATAGGTAAACTACTACCAAATGCAATAACATGGATTAATCTTTTTTTTTTTTTTTTTGAGACAGAGTCTTGCTCTGTGGCTGAGGCTGGAGTGCAATGGTGCAATCTTGGCTCACTGCAACCTCTGCCTCCCGGGTTCAAGCAATTCTCCCTGCCTTAGCCTCCCAAGTAGCTGGGACTACAGGCGTACCCGCCACCACACCTGGCTGATTTTTATATTATTTAATAGAGACAGGGTTTCACCATGTTGGCCAGGCTCGTCTTGAACTCCTGACCTCAGGTGATCTGCCTGTCTCGGCCTCCCACAGTGCTGGGATTACAGGCGTGAGCCACCGCACCCAGCCCCCTCCTGAATTTTGATTTTTAGCTCATAGGCAAAAATTAGGTCCAGTTAGAGTATGATTTTAAATAGAAAAGTAGAACAAGTTCATGAGGAATTTGGGGAAGGCAAAACTTTCTTAAATAAGATATCCAACCCCTTCCCCTAAATCCCCACCACTGACTACAAAGGAAAGGATTGATAAATTGAAGTACACTAAAATTAGGGATTCAGACAACATTGTATGAGTAAAAAGACAAACCGGCCGGGCGCGGTGGCTCAAGCCTGTAATCCCAGCACTTTGGGAGGCCGAGACGGGCGGATCACGAGGTCAGGAGATCGAGA